GTTAACATTTTAATTTGTATTGAAATGTTGATAATATAAGTGAGTTTGATTTTAATATGATATATATATAATATAGTTGGATATAATGCAGCATTTACATTCAGCTTACAGCCCTTAAATGAGTTCGCTTTCTGGCCCTTCATAGTAACCAACAGGGGATGCTCAAATATAACAACGACAAAAAACAACTGAAATAATCTGTTGGATTTTTAAAATTAATTTCATCTGTGAATAGTAATCATTGTGATGTTTGGATACAAGTGTAGGGTTTCTACAAGAGGCTGCATATCAAATTCAAAGTCATGGCATTTTTTTCAATGTAATTTAACCAATTCAATAACTCAAAAATGTTTTTCCATTACTTTAATTCAAGCCATTTTAGTAGTTTAACTAATATCAACTTTATTTTTTTAAGTTATACAAGATAGACAAGATTTAAAAAAAATGAGTTGAAATGATTTGATCGATTTGATTACACCACTGTAAAATAATTATTCGAAGATGTAAATAAAACAAAGCTTATTTATTATTAATTCTTTGTAATTCTTTGGGAAATTTACAAGCAATTTACTAGCAAAATCTTTACTTTAAATGCACTTAAATATTACAATTTACTTAATATTAATTAACCATTTACGCAGCAACTGCACTTAAGTTTTTAAGTTGAAGTATGTGAGTCTTTTACAGTGTTATCGTGCCTTAATGAATAAGTTTACATTTTTATTCTGAGAAATATCTTGAGCTAGAATCGAAATTCCTCTTTCTTCTGAACACTTGAGTGAATGTATAGGTTTTCCAGTACAGAAGAAACTGATATTTTCTTCCCATCATAGAAACTCACAGGTAATGAGAACTTCGCCGTCCCGTACTGGAACTTTGCGACGGGACGGACGGAGTGTGACGTCTGCACAGACTCTCTGCTCGGAGGAGGGGACCCCAGGGACCCGTCCCGTATCAGCCCTCGCTCCAGGTTTGCCCGCTGGGGAGTGGTGTGTAACAGGTACGTTTTGCTGGTTGGTTATAGCAGATAGCCATTCAAAAGTAGCTGTGTAAAATTTTCAATTAATTTAATTCAATTTAATTTGAAAAAAACTCCACAAAACCACACCAAAAAAAAAAGCCTTTTTTGGAGGCTTTTATACGTGGGTCAAAGACGAAAAAGGGTTTAAGCATAAAAACAATAA